CACAGCGGTGCCAGCTCTGTGGACCCGGACCCAGCGCCAGAGCAGAGTCCACCATGCCACATTTTCATGTCTTCAGAAATACAGCGGGATAAAGGGCAGAGCAATCAGGACCCCAAAAATGACCTCTCCTACTTTGTGAAGATTTATCTTTAGATTTTAATTATGTGTATACGTGTGTGTCTGTAGGGGAAAGATGTACACATGAATGCAGGTTCTGTGGAAGTCAGAAGAGGACATTGGATCCCCTGGAGCTGGAGTTGCAGGCAGGAGCCACCTGACATGGACGTTGGGAATTGAACTTCGGTCCTCTGAAAGAGTAAAACGTGCTCTTAATTGCTAAACCATCTTCCCAGCCCCTCTCTATCTTTCCTGCAGATGGAAGGCCCCAACATACTACAGGGCTTGTTAAACAATGGGTCTGAATCTTGATTAAAAACATTGGGTCTGAAGCAGGACCCAAAAACAGTCATTTCCTTCCTTTTTCTCCCTTTCTTTCTTTCTTTCTTTCTTTCTTTCTTTCTTTCTTTCTTTCTTCCTTTCTTTCCTTCCTTCTTTCCTTTCTTTCTTTCCTTCCTTCCTTTCTTTTTTTCTCCCTTCCTCCCTTCCCTTTAAAAACAGGGACTTACTATGTAGCCTCTTAGCCAAGACTGGCCTCCAACTCATGATCTTGCGTCAGAAACCTGCTCAAGAGTATTGGGATTTCAGGCAGAAGCCACAGCCCTGTGGAAGGCAGCCTTTCTAACAATCTCTGGGCCATATTGATGATTCACACACTGTACTCTGAGCAGTGGGTTACAAGTATCTGCATTGAAGTTTGTCCCACTCTAGAAACTTGTCAAATCACTACTCTTGGGGAAATGAGGGAGACAGGGGCTGGGAGAGGCTAAGCAAAGACTTGGCGAAAGAAAGGGGAAGAAACACATTCTCAGAGGCCACCTCCCAAGTCAGCATCAGGTCTGGAAGTGCCCGGCCTCAAAGATGACTGCAGAGCATGCATCCTGTGAGGGCCCGGTAGAACAATGTATGACATCTTCCCATGTCCTCAGATGGAGGCATAAAGGACAGCACTGCCACTGAGAGCTTTAGAGGACTCAACTGGAGTCATACACTGTGTAACCATACACTGCATATAAAGATGGATGCTTTTTACTGTTGAAATAACTGCTACCAGTAGTGGTTTGGGGTGCTGCCAGCGCCTGTCCTGCCCCTGCCCATGCCTGTGGCATGGGTTTCCTTGGCAGACTTTCATCTCATTGGGAACTTTCTGGCACTTCTGGTCTCTAAAACAGTCTCACTTGGTCTTTGAAGGCTCAACCCTGTTTATTTTAAAGCCTGCTGGCCTGAAGTATTGCCTGCCCCTTCCCTGGGACGCCAGAGGCCACAGGTGATTTCCCTAGAGCTGGATAATAAGGAAGGGGAGGAACATGGGTTCTGATGTTTCTCTGCTGTCCAGGGCTAAAGCGACTGAATCCTTTTGCTGTATCCTTGATTCTGGGTGCTTTGAAGGCCATCCCCCAAGGCTCATTCCTGAGCAGAGACGTTCATAAAGGTTTAAAACCTGCCCAGCTACCCTGAGTCTCCCGTCCCTTTAGTATCAGCCAGCCTTAGAGAGTCTTTTCTAGCAACAGAATATACCAGATGTTGTTTTGGATCAGTTCCCAGCTGGGTTGAAAGGAGGATCCAGTTTTGACCTGATTGTGTCTTGGGAGCCTGGCTGTGGGGACCAACACTGTGCCACGAAAGAAGCCAAGCATGGGAAGACAAGCAGACCCGCCAAGCGATAGTGCCAGCAGAGGACCCAGCTAGCAGCAGCATCCCCAGCAGACAGGAGTGAGGGGACCCTGAGCTGTGCCCAGCTGGTGGCCTCAGATTCACTCTAGCACTGACACATTACCAGGAAGCTGCGATCCTTCCTGAGAACTGTCCGTCTACAATCACGAGACATCTAAAGAGTGTTTTGTTAAGGTGTCAGGTTTGGGAGGATGCTTGCCACCCAGTATCAGAGAACTGCAGAAAGACTGTTGGCTCTTTGGAAACCTAGTCCTGCTCTCCCTAGTACCTAGTTGCCAGTCACAGGCAACTGGTTCAGGTGAAGCTTCCTCTTTCCCTGGCTTCCAGGGTTTCTGTGAGCCACCTGGCCCATGGCTTCCACTGCTAAGTCCCTGTCTCAGGCCTGGACCTCTGACACTCCCCGCTAAGCCTGCACAACTCTACCCATGTGGTTGTTAGAAACTTGTTAACTAAGGGCTGGGGAGACAGCTCCGTTGGTAAAGTGTTTGCTGTGCAAGCATGAGGGTCTGAGTTCAGATCCCCAACATTCCTAAAAAGCCAATAGTGCTGGTATGTGTCTGCAATCCCAAGGCTGGGGAGGAAGGGACAAGATCCATGGAACTCACTGGTTAGCCATTCTGGCCAGTTGGTTAGCTCTAGTTTCAATGAGAGGCCTTGTCTCAAAATATAAGGTGGAGAGCAATGAAAGAGCACATCTAACATCAACCTCTGGTGTCCACACACACATCCACATACTCATCTGAACATGCATATATGCATATACCACACACACATATATATATGTATATATATATATATATTAGCTATTTGCCAAAGTTAGGAAACTAAGATACTTCAAATACCTTATGTCTGAATCCTGGTCCCTAGGAACTCCTTAAGCTGCTGGCAGCTGTTCCCTTAAACAGGCATGAGATTCTCATCTCTGTTTCAACCCCTAACCACTCCCAATCACCTGGCAAAAGGTCAGAGTCACCCTGCCCCGCTCTTCATCTGACTAATGTAGATAACCGAGTTTGGGGCATGAAGTGGACTGAAGAGAGTAACCCTGCTCCAGAAACTAATGCGCACCAAGATGACGGTTACGGATGCCCCTGTAGCTTCCAAAGGTGGCTCTTTGAAACTCTCTCCTCTCAGACATAGTATCATCCTCCCCTGACTTGTAGAGTTAGCCTTCTTGGCTGCCTTTCCCAACCAAATCAGGGAGCTTTCAGTCATGAGCTTTGGCAGAAGTGACTCCATTTGGATTTTCAGCCTGGTCTGGGGACCCAGTGCTTAGGCTTAGCCTAAAAGAAGGGCTGCCTGTGGAATTTATGTAACATTACCATTTGCTGAATTTACTCAACGATAAGCTTCCACCATTCAAATATTTAATATTTGTGTTTAACCATAAGATCATAAAACTTCTGAAAATTTGACACTGGCTCTTAGAAGCTGGTACAAACTACCCTAGCACAGTAAACAGGTATAAGGAACTCTGTCTTGGGGCTAAAGCAATGGCTCAGCTGTTACACCTACTTCCTGGTCTTACAGAGAGAGGAATTGGATTCTATTCCCAGTTCCACCTGGGTCTGTGCACAGCCACTTGTAACTGCAGTTTTAGGGGGTTCCAATGCCTTCTTCAGGTCTCTGGAGGCACTACACATATATGGCACACATCCAGACATACATATACACACAAATAAATGTTTTTTTAAAAGAATATGTAAGAACTTAGAGGGACATACTGTCTGTACCATCCCTCTCATGAAGTGTACATAGTTGCAATTTTCCCCAAGTTCTCGGAGACTTTAAAACACTAGAAGGATGATTCTGGGAAGGCAGACAATGTCCCAGTGGATGACGGAAAGGAGGGCATGAAGGGACAATACTGTCCCAGGAAAGGACAGTGTTGTTTGCAGGTTTCCCCTTCTCTCTCTGCCTGCCCATGCCTCAGCTGGCACTGGGCACCAGCCATTAGGGAGAAGCCAGGAAAGTCCCAATAGCTGTCAGCACCAAGCTTTTAATCTCCCTCTGCCAAGATCAGGGCCACCAGGCTAGTACAATCTTATCAGAAGCCGGCGACAGCCCGAGTCAAGAGAGGAAACGGAGGTGGCTTATCTCTCTTCCTTGCATCCATCTGGAAGGTGAGCTGTTTGTTCTCAGAGCCAATGGCAGGGAGCCCTGTGTCACTGTGCTTGGTCATGGGGAAGGGCCTAGTTCCTGCCCTGGATGAAATGACAGACTCTGGAGATCCCCCCAAGGAGAGCCTCACCCTCCCTGGGGAATGATGTGGGGATTGGGCTGGGGGCTGGTAGGGGGCCTGGTAGAGAGACAAGAGAGGGGGCTGGGAGAGGGAGCTGGGTTGACATGTGAAGCATGCATGTGTCTAATTTAAATAAAAAAATATATTGAGAAAAAAAATAAAACCCGATTGCTGAAAAAAAATAAGGTCAGTGTCCTTAGAAGAGAGGGAGTCTGTGGGAATCGGGGGCTTCCGGCTGAGGGCAGAGGAGAATCATACATAGCATGTGTCTGCGAGGTGGATAGAAAGAGCAGCCGTGCTTCCCAGGGGAGGCCCAGGAAATCCCTTGCTGGGGGTCCCATAGCGTTAGAGCTAAGCACAGCGTGGGTCTGTCAGCTGAATGGGCGGAGCAGCTGCCATCATCCTCATACATGACCCTCTCCCCAGTCAATGTCCTTACTTTGGAAGAGAAGAGAGATGCCCTAGTCTAGACTGAGTGCCTGGGGTGGGGGTGGGGCAGCCAGCTCTCCACAAGCAAAGGGAGTCCCCAGAGAAGGGGTGTATCCATTCTGAGATGGCACTGATTTTAGTGTAGGTAAAGGGATGTGAGACAGGGAGCCAGGTGGGGAGGTGCGAACAGTCATTAAAGGGCAGCAAGATTCCGGGTGACAGGCACACCTAACCAGCTCTCGTTCTGAGTGGAAGGGAACGGCAACGAGCAGAGCACTGGCGATCCCTGGGCACTGCAGCTAAGTCCAAGCACTTCCAGGGCCAGCATCTCCCTTTTTTTTCCCATGACAACGAGGCCCAGCCCTTCCTCTAGGTATTGGGACTAGAAGGAAGTGAGAAAGGTCAAAGGCAGTGACCATGGCAGCAGTCATTATCGCTGTCCTCTATCTTCCAGTCTATACCCAGGGGTAACCATGGCAACAGTTAGTGAGAGCTGTGACATCACTGTTCTACCTAGTGGGTAGGACTCAGAGCCACCCTATAGAAGACAACTCCATAGACACACAGCCTCGCTGGTCTAGCTCTCCATCTCTAGTTCCAGGTGTCTGTGAGCTAAGGTTAGTTCAAACACATGTAAAACTTAGGCAAGTGACCTAACTCCTCTCAGCCAGTGTCCTCACATATTCTACTAAATGCCAATGATGATAATTGATGGCGGTGGTGGTGATAACAATACCATTATTCAAATAACAGCCTGAGTCACCTATAAACAGTCAGTCATACCTGGCTGTGCGCCCCATAACTGAGATCCTCCCCTAGGACCCAGAGCACTCACTTATAGACAGTGAATCTATGGGCAGTTTTATGTGATTGTTGTTTGTTTCCCTGAAAGCAGATCTGGGTGTGGGATTAGAGCAAGGCAATATATTTGGAAGGAGATTCCCCACAGGACAAGAGGGCATGGGGACAGTAGTGTATGGGTGGGGGTTAGGAGAAAGAAACGGGAACATACCACCTCATAGGTTCCTGGGCCTTGAAACCAGTGAGAACCATGTTACCTGTCAACCAGGCAAGACATAAACTGTGTCCTTACCCTTACTATTTCCAGGGGTAATGACCCCTGGAAATATTTAGAGAAATGTAGACTCTTGGGCATCATCTCAGATTGACAGGGGCAGAATCCACATTTGAACAAGATCCCAAGTGCCATCTCTGCCCATTCCAGCTAAGGAGCCACACTCCCAACTGGCACTGGGCTGGGCTTTCCCATTATGCAAGGCTTCCCAGCCCTGCCACGGAGCTGGTTTGCTCTCCAGCAACAGCCCACCATTTAGCCCTCTATCTGAGTACACACTCCAGCTGGAAGCTCCCGGTCAGTGCATTGCTCACGTGGCGTCCCCTTGGTGGCACCCACGGAGATGTCCCCAGTGTTTCTGCTCAGTCAAGATGCCCTACACCTTGCTTATGAAAACTGTCACTCTCCTCTGTTGCATCAGGTGTCTTGTTCTCTCAGCGCCTCCCGGACAAGCAGTCCCTTCATCCCCCTCTCTCTGCCCCACATCTTCCTGGTGAACAAGCTTCCTAGCACGCCCCTAGGGAACAGCCTGGAGCTGTACTGCTTAGGACAATAGCCTTATCCCCTGTGGCTGCTGAGACCCTGACAAGTGCTTCTCTGAAGTACATATGTGGTAAGTACAAATCACACATCAATTTCCAAGACTTGGTAGGAAATAAAATGAGGCTCATACTATCTCCTTCATAAATTCTATGCTAGGCATGGTGCCTCATGACCATAATTCCAGCATTTGGGAAACCGAGGCAGGAGGATTGTCTTGAGATTAAGGCCAGCTTGGAATACACAGTAAAACTTACAATATTATTTTTAAATACCCACTCTAGGCTGAAATATTTCAGATCTATTAGATAAGAATTTGAAACTTTACATACTTCCTTTTCCTCTTTGGATATGACACTTGTAAATGGCCTGACTGGCTTCTTGTACAGTTCCACTGGACAGCTAGGAATGCAAGGACCAGTTGCTTATGGAAAGGAAGGCCTTATTCGGGACTATTGCAAGATGGGTGTTGCGACAGGGGTTATGGGTCAGAGATCCTCACAAGGGCAGCCAGGATGAGTGGAGACTTTGGAGCCAGAACAAGGGGGTCAGAAGATGGAGAGTGACTGAGAGGAGACACAGAGGGTGAAGGGGGCTCTTCTTACGTTGACCTTGGTAACAAGTAGATGGATGACTTCCTTACAGAGAGAAACTAGGGGTGAAGCTCAGACCAACCAGACCTCAAGAGAGATTGAAGGAGGGCAAGTGTAGCCAGCACTCCTGGGGTAGTTCCAGAATGTGCTGAGCAGGATTTGGGCTGGACAGTATGGAGCCAAAACCAAGATCTCACTGAAGAGAGGGCTCGGAGAGCCTGGCTACAGTCTGGTCCAGGAGAGAATGCGTGTGTCTCAATCCTGAGAACTGGTCAATCTGTCCACTGTGAGGACTGGTCAATCTGTCCACTGTGAGGACTGGTCAGTCTGTCCACTGTGAGGACTGGTCAATCTGTCCACTGTGAGGACTGGTCAATCTGTCCACTGTGAGGACTGGTCAATCTGTCCACTGTGAGGCCTTTTGCCACTTTATGCCATCTCTGAGCCTCAGTTTTCTCATCTGGCAAATGACGACTACAAAACAGAATATTCCTCTAGGGAGGCTTCAAGGGCTCCATACAATGGCCTGTACTGAGCTGCTGGCCTTTCGCCAGGCTCATTGTGAGTGCCTGCTGAACCTGGCCATCTAGCATGACACTCTCCCTCTTCAGCACAACATTATTGGCCACAGATGGTACTGGCTCTGAGACCTCCAGGACCCATGAATTGGGAGCTCCTGGGAAGGGCAATCCAGGCCCTTAACTTCTTCCCGAAGAAACATGGACACCCAATGCACTCTCTACTGTAAAACTAGGACTCTTGTCTTCCCAGAGACTCTCCAAACACAGCCACTCTTACCATGACACCAACCTTCCACGACATCATGGCGAAACAAGCATGCTGATGACCACCCCTGATCCCATCCAAAGGACCCACTGGCCAGAGACGAAAGCTGTGAAATTTATGCCTAAACACTGCACACTGTCTAATGCAAACCACCACGAACGCTGGAGCCACACAGCGCATCTCTGAAGGCTGGAGTCTCGGTGCATTTCAAACAGCGCTCCCTCTCTGGCTCGGCTGAACATCGTTAGGAACTGCAGGGAGTGCGATTTAATTACAAGAGAACATTTGTTGTGGGCTGACATGACAGGTCAGGACCACTGGCCAGAACTGGGCCATCAAACATCCATTACTGTTGGAAACAGGACCAGTAGCCTCTAAAACCAGTGTGGAAGGTTAGAATTCTCCACAGAGAGGATGCATCCTCTTCTCTACCAGTGCTCCGTCTAGCCTGTTTGTTATGTTCAGTAGGCCCTAAAAATACAAGAAAACAGAGACAGCCTTCCATAGACAAGTCAGCTCTGATGACCAGACCCACATATGACCCCCAGGCCTCCTTGGATAGTATCAGCTCTGATGCATGTGTGGCCCTCTGAGAGAAACCACAATAGGCCCCTGGCCATCATGAATGAAGTCACGGATCTGTCTCTTACCTTTGGAACAGGTTTTCCTGGGAGATCCTGTTCCCAGAAAAGACCTTGGGCAAACCAAAGATGCCAAAGAGGTAGGTCTCTTTTCCCCAGTGTCCACTTTAACTCAAGTAGCTAAAACCCTCATAGGGCCTGAGAGTCACTGGGAATGCAGGTTCCAGGGCCCAGTCACAGGTTCAGAAAGTATCTTATCCATCCAAGGATTTGTAATTTAAAAAACACCCAAGTGAGGCAGTTATTCCAACAAGTTTTTCTTCTGGGTTCTGTAAAGCTAGAAGGCAGCCGGGCGGTGGTGGCGCACGCCTTTAATCCCAGCACTCGGGAGGCAGAGGCAGGCGGATCTCTGTGAGTTCGAGGCCAGGCTGGACCGACAGCCTCCAAAACAATACAGAGAAATCCTGTCTCGTAAAACCAAAAACAAACAAACAAACAAACAAAACAAAACAAAACAAAAAAAACTAGAAGGCTCCGCACTGGGCTTCAGTGGTCTGCTGGGTACCACTTGCTCTGTGCATGCCGGGAATGGGGGTCTGAGGCCATGTACGGGGGATATTTCTCCCCTCCCATGTCCCCAGCAGAGACCTGCCTAGGTCAGAAGTCCTGTGTGCATTTGTTGCTTGGGGGGGAATAAGGTGGAGTTTGGGGGATAGGAGTGGGGTGATGTTAAGAATTTTGTTTCAAATGGACTTCATGAAATGTTTCACAGTGCTGTCACCTACTGTGGTAAAGGGAACAAATCCACTGCCACTCCTTGCATCTGCTCCTTAATCCTCCCCCAAGGCTCCTTGCAGCGTTGCATTCCACAGCCAGCCTGTCAGGGTGCAACCCAGACAAGCTTTCAATGCCAATGCTCAGACTTCACTCCACATCAAGAGGCCAGGGTCTTCCAGGAAACATAGAACTTGAGTGGCTTTGTGACTCCCTAGCTAACTACAACTGTAGTCATGGTCAGAAACTGGCTGGACTTCCACTGTCAGGTACCCCTGGGGGGCTTTAAAGCCCTGATGAACCCCAGAGAATCTAGACAAATGTTTCTGCTGTGGCTGGCATGCCTTGGGAACCTTGTTCAGTCAAGAGACACCGCATCAGCACTCAAACACCAGGGATCATTAGCCACAAGGTAGTTGTAAGACTCTCCTGGAGACCTAGGACTCAGTTCAGCTTCCAGACTCTGTGATGTCCCAGGACAGGCACATTGGATACTCAGTCAGCTCTGCACATGTATGTTGACAAATGAGTCAGCCAGGAGCACAGGCCTGAAGTGTGCAAACTTCAGGTACTGCTCAATTTGGGGCCCCTGGGCCAGCAGCAGCAGGGTGCTCTGTCGGAAATGCAAGTCCTCAGATGGCAGCAAGGACCCAGGGGACCAGAGGGTGTAGCTGAGGTGACCCAGGTGATGGAGTTGAAGGAGTCTGAGGACTCCATTGGCATTCACAGGAGTCTCCCACTAGCCCCCGCTAAATGCAAGGCGCATGCTTTTCTCTGCAGGTACACTCTTGGGGAGAAGGGCCCCAGAAATCCAGGGGTCTCAGGGACCCCAGATTAAAACATTTCTAGCATGCTTCTTTGAAAAACCCTGGAGAAGACAGTCGTCTCTCCCACATGATCTCCAGGATCCCCCTCTTCACCTTTCCCCCAAAGCTTGGAATCCCACGCAGAAGATTCTAAGACATAATTGGGCTGCACCAATCCACAGGTACTGTAGAGCAAAATCTGTGCCCCACACTAGGGTTTTGTGGTAACCTTGGGGACCTGTTTGTGTATTCAGCCTCCTCCCTTTCCCAGGAGCTTCTAGAAAGATGAAACTGGGTAATAACTCCAGACCTTGCCAGGTGGGACTCCTTTGTTTATAATAAATCTCCTGGCCCTGTACTTCCTTATGGACTAGCCCATAGTTGGTCTGTTCACGTCCATCTTCCTCCATCATGCCGTTAATGCGGCAGAGGGTGCCGTGCGCTCCACTCTGACTTGGAAGTGCTTTTTTTATGGCCAGTGCCTGGCAGCTCCCACGTTTCCCAAGGAGTACATGCTGGCAGGGGCTGGCTCCCATCCAGCCTCACAGAGAACAGCAGGCACAGGCTGGCAGCTGACGGAGCAGCAAGGCCCCTGTGTCTTGGGCTCAGACTTCCTGGGCATTCAGCCCTCCAGCTCAGTGCTGCTATCTCTGAGGGGGCTTGCCTTTTAATTTGTTCCTGCGGCAGCCATGCTAACAAATGGGACCCAGCTGAAGGGCTGTCTCAGGAACAATGGCCGCTCAGTTTGGCAGCCAATTTGTCCCGGGAATCTTTTGTTATGAATCCTCAGAGCCCATTAACCCCTGAACCTGGGAGATGCTATCTCCCCAGGGATGAATTACCTTTATTTCCAGACACGTGTTTGCTCATTTAGTGCCCACTTCATAAAAGCAACCCAGTTTGAGGCTGTTTCCCAGCAATGGAGGGGAAGAGCAACCCTACTGCCCATAGGGCTCATAACTCAGATAGAGCAGCTAGCCACGCCCTTCAGTGACAGCTGCCATTAGCCACGCCCTTCAGTGACAGCTGCCATTAGCCACGCCCTTCAGTGACAGCTGCCATTTGCTGTGTTGCTACAATGAGCCAGGGACTAGGGGGAAAAATCATTATTTAATCCTCACCAGTAGCCTGGGTCCTGCATGGAGTCTCATGTTTGCACAGGGGACAGGGCTGTGTGTCTAAATCACAGAGAGGTTAAACTACTTGCCTAAGAGCCCTCCGCACTTAAGTGGTTTGAAGCCCACTTTCTCATCACCGAGCTATGGTCTGCCCTCAGATCTCTTCTCACTTAGAAGGTGCCCTGGGTTGGACTTTTGAGTCGCAGGAAGGAAGAGGTGGCCTCTAAGGGCCTCAGGAAGGCAATGCTCCTTCAGAAAGATGTCTGTTGAGGACAGTGTCATGTGCCTATTTGGGCTTTATATTAGTTGTGCATTCTGTTTTAATCATGTGAGCAGAGGGGTGGAGAATGTTCCTGAATGCTCCGTCATCACGTAGCACACTGGACCTAGGAGGAAGTGGCCAGTGTTCCAGTTTGCTTTGAATGGATCTTGTTCTGGAAATCTCTAGGATCTCTGAGGTGGCCCATTGCTGATTGCCGAGTGTTGGACTAGCCTGCATGTAACAAAGCCAAAATAACATTGATTAAAATGCCGTTGATTCTCTTATTCAAGGGTTTATTTTAAAGCGTGTGTGTGTATGTGTGTGTGTGTGTGTGTGTGTGTGTGCACATGTATATATCCATGTGAAGACCCAAAGTTGATGCCAACTGTTTTCCTTGACTATTCTCCATCTTATATTGAGACAGGGTCTCTCACTGAACCTGTGGACTGCAGACTTGGCCAGCTTATTCTTATCATCTCTATCTCCATTTTCTGAGGACTGGAATTACAGGTGGCCTCTACACCTGCCAGGCCTCTACATTGGTACTAGAGATCTGAGCCTTGATGCTCTTCCTTTCCTAGAAAGCTCTTGAGCTATTGAGTCAGCCCTCCTGCCTATTAGGGTCTATCCTTTCACTCAGTCTATCCAACCTTCACATGTTAGAATCATCAAGGGAGACTTAAAAAAAAAAAGACCATGATGCTTAAGCTGTTCCCCATGGATCAATTGTATCAGTGCCTGGCCACGAGTATTTCTACTGCTTATTTCAGTGTTCAGTATGGTGAAGAAGTAAAACTTTATCATAAAGCAAATCCTAGCAGTTCCCTGATGATGCAAGGGGGTTGTAAAGTCAGCCAGGTCCCCTCCATCTTCCCATGCATTCCAAGCAGCCGGCACTTGTTCTCAAGATGACTATTTGGTCCAACCTGACTGCTGTAGCTCAAGCCACTACCTCTGATTCCAGGTGAGAAGAAGGCAGAGGAAAGGACAAAATGAGGTGATTTTACCTGCTGTGGACTGAATTGTGTCTCCCGCTGCATCCATATTTTGAAGCACTAACTCCCAATACAGCTGTGGTTGGAAGAAGTAGTTAGGATTACATAAGGTCTTAGCAGTTGAGTCTTGACGTCATGGGACTGGTGCCTTTTCAGACACAGAAGAAGTTTCCTTCACTTTCTTATATGAGCTGAACACAACCCAGGGTAAGAGCTGTGAGTGTGACAGCCCAGGCATCCTCCAAACACTGAGACTGTTAATGTCTGACTCAAAGCCAAGATAGAGCCACAAGACTGAGTCTACTCACATCCCTTCTGGGAGGTTCTATCTGGGTATCTTATCGGCCAATCTCACAACTACAGAAGAGGCTGGCAAGAGGCATTGTGCTAGTTAGGGTTTCTATTGCTGTGAAGAGACACCATAACCATGGCAACTCTTATAAAGGAAAACATTTAATTGGGGCTGGCTTACATGTTCAGAGGTTTAGTCTGTTATCATCATGGCAGGAAACATGGTGACACACAGCAGGCATGGTGCTGGGAAGGTAGCTGAAAGTTCTACATCTTGATCTATAGGCAGCAGAAAGAGACGGTGACACACTACCAATACTTGAGCTTCTAAGATCTCAAAGCCTGCCCCCCAGTGACCCACTTCCTCCAACAAGGTTACACCTCCAATAGTGCTACTCCCTGTCACCAAGCAGTCAAACACATGTGTCTCTGGGGGCCATTCCTATTCAAATCACCACAGGCATCATTTTCCAGGTTCACAGCCACCTCCAATATAGTCAGGATTCTATGAAAGAGGACAAAGGGGAAGCCTACTCATTACCAATTGTCAGCATCTTTCCCAAAGACCTGGTGACTGGAGAAGGAGAACAGAAGAGTAAGAGAGGTGAAGTTTAGGGGATCACCATAGAGTGGGGAGTGAGCTTGGGAACCTTATTTGAGTAAGGGAAAGCAGGGACAAGGAACACAGGCCTCCCTTCCCCTCCCTCCCTGTCCTCCACGGCATCACAGCTGGTACAGGGTGGCTTTGTGCAGAGTTCAGCACTGAGAAATGTTGCCTGTCCCTAGCCTGGCCTTGAGGTTACTGACACATAGCATTTAGTGGTGGAAGGAGCTTCTTGGAAGGAGAGCTTGGTCCAAGCTGGACAATCAGAGGTGGCCAAGAGGCT